GTTAGAGTTGAACCCTTTGTGTCTCTCTGGGAAGATGTTCTGCTCCTGAATCAGCTGTGTGGGTCTTGCCTCTAGCCTCTTTGCAGGGAGTTCTGCCGAAGGGTTCTATGCTGGGCCTGCAGCCTGGGTCAAATGAGGATCCCTGGGCCCCAGGTCATCTCATTCACTCGCCAGGTCTGCGCTCTGGGTCTATTCAAGATCCCGCAGGCCCTCGGTCGTCTCACTCACTCACCAGGGCTGTTCAGGATCCCCGGGCCCCGGGTTGCCTCATTCACTTGCCAGGTCTGCACTCTGGGTCTATTCAGGATCCCGTGGCCCTCAGTGGTCTCACTCACTCACTGGGCATAGTGCTCTGGGACTGTTCAGGATCCTGCAGGCCCTGGGTCCTCTCACTCACTCACTGGGCCTGCACTCTGGGTCTGTTCAGGATCCCACAGGCCTGGGTCATCTCACTCACTCGCCGGGCCTGCGTGCTGGGACTGTTCAGGATCCAGCCGCCCTCGGTTGTCTCACTCACTCACCGGGCCTACGCTCTGGGTCTGTTCAGGATCCGAAGGACCCCCAGTCCTTTTACTCACTCGCCGGGCCTGTGTTCTGGGTCTGTTCAGGATCCCGCGGCCCCGGGTCGTCTCACTCATTCACAAATGTAATATATATTACATTTGTAAAACGTATCAGTCTCTGCATCATTTTGATTAGTAAGCAACCTAAATATATATTGCAGTATATCAGTTACAGCTAAAGCAAGGTGTCTTTTAAAGTCTGTTTCTATTGAGTTGGATGACTGGAAGGAAGGTCAGGGTTTGAGAAGGACAAAGAGACCTGTGGCAATATCCAGCAATAGGCTAGATTTTTTTTCCTTTAGTCCTGATTACTTAGGGTGCCTCTGTGGAGATGACAGGCAGAGATAACAGTCATGACAGAGGGAGGAGGCAGGCCCAGGGCCCTTCAGTCCTAATGGACCACCTGGGAAGCTGAGTCTGAGCTCTGGGGTCTCCACCTCAGAGTGCAGTCTCACTTCCAGTGGCTGCCTTGGCAGTCAGGGCATGGCTTGTGCACCTCTTAAGGCAGCCCCTCTTATGATGGCCTGGCTTCTGAAAGCAGCAGCAGGTGAGCCTTATCAGTAGATAAACCTCATTGTCATTGAGCTCTTTTTGGAGCCCAGAGAATCAGACTTAGGATCTGTTTTGAGGCTTCAAAAAGGGCAGCCATTTTTTCTTTTTGCTTTCTTTCCCTGGTCTTCTCCCAGTCCAGATTATAGGACACTAAGAAGCAATTTTTATTAAAGTATCAAGTGAGTTGTCTGTAGCAAATCTATCTTTTGTAGCTCTTTTCTAATATTTGGAGCTGACTGAGTAGTGAACTTATTTGTAGGAATAGTCTATCCGTCTATTGAATTAGGATCTAGGGAAGTATTTCTTACCTTTGTCTCTATTAAACATTCTAAGAAATCAGAGAGGTGTTTATCTTTCTTCTGGTAAATAGCTAAAATTTAAAATAACTAGAAGGCTTGGTTTCAGTTCTTCATAGATCTTCAAGAATACACACTAGAAAATGTCTTTTATCTAGTCTCCTGTCTGGCTATTAGGCCAGCAGGGGTCTGAATGCTTGGGCTCCAGTGGGAACAGGAAGTTCCACTGGCTGTCTATCTCTTGGCTCTTTATAACAATATGATATTTATCTCAAAATGTAATAGCTTATAATGCTGTCTTTTAATAGAAGTCGAAACTTGGTTGAAGATTAACATTATATCTCTCCAATCTAGTTTATAAGTCGGAATAAATCTTCTAAAGACATCAATGTACTTGAAAAGGTCATTTAAAGGTTTTTTTAAGATCTTATTTTATCTGTTTTAAGTCACAGAGAAGAAGGTGCATGAACTCTGGAAGGTCTACATTGCTTATTTACTTCTCTAACAGATATCATCCTTGAGGAACTTGCATACATTCAGCTAAGGATGGGTGCAACCTTGTAGCTGTTTTTAGAAGTCAATCCTTTAGAAAGGCAGATAGGGGAAACCTTACTTTCAGTAATGATGGTCCAGGCTGTGATTAACACTGTCTTGTCCTTAGGCTCCAAAGGTTAGGGAGGAGCAGCCTTAGGCCCTGGGATAGTGAATTCCTTAGGCACCTGAACTGCCTGGTTCTCCTGTAGCTCACATCTGCATTTTAAAACCAGATAACAATGACTTTCTTAAGGCAAACAAAATCTGAACATAAGACT